CTCCTGACTCTGCCTAATGTTGGTGAGTTCTTTAGGCCTCATATCAAACAGTTTTATATCTTCTTATTTAATCATTAACGTTGTTTTGTAATTCTTTCTAAGAAGCATTAGTCTCTTTCTAACTTATTTGTGAGGTTCACATTCGTGTTTGAAGTATTCTACCTAAATGTGAAATATGTTCTATGCTCTTAACATCAATGAATTAAATGTTTTATTCGCCTTTCTTCCTATAGTGCTTATGCCTCACATAGGTTCGGCTACCAAGCGTACCCGGGACGACATCGCAATTCTTGCTGCCAAAAATATTTTGCACGGGCTTGCAGGTGAAGCAATGCCGGCATCCGTATTTTAAATATTCATGCAACATATAATTAGTGAAATAGAATTGAGAATTAAATGGAGCCAAATCTGTATCGCATAGTTCTATTTGTTGTTGGAATGAGAACGGAATAAAAAAAAAATCCTTTCTGCCAAATCTGTTTCGGACTATTTTGTACTTATGAATATATTTGATATAAGAACCAGCTTTAAATGGTATTTAGCCGTGAGCGCTCTCTCATTCATACCTTATTTCATCTTAGACAGAGGATAGTTATGTTAGTGCTACTAAGCAATAGGATCTGCATTGCGGGGCGATAGTAGAGTGAACAGAAGACTATTGGACCAATAAATCCTGAGTAACATCTACGCGAACTGTAAAATCATTACGGCTGTATCCGCGTTTCGCATATCGGTCAAAAGTGTTGTGGAAACCAATGCAACTTAGGTGACGCTTGCCAGAACACAGCGAGTTCAGTTCTACCGGGTGCCAGGTCACAAAGTCATAGACGGCAATGAGATAGTGGTACGTTGTGTGGTATACGGCTGTTCACACGAAAACATTATCAACATTGAAACCCCATGCATTAACAATGCTCTGAACAGAAGCATGAACAGCAAAATCTTTTCACAAGAGCACGATCTTGGGTGCAAAACTGAAAATGTCAGGTATAAAATTTTAAATCGAACAAAGTTCCTACTGGCACGTTATAGAAGAGCTGTAGAAACATAATTTGAAAACTCACTGGTCACAGTCTGGTAGCGTCACATGCCGGCAAAATGTGGTAGATCGAGAAACAACAAGCAAGACCAAAGCATTAAGGAAATAATGGAGCAAATTGCAGACTTGAAGCAAGTTGGCAAGGCTACACTCTCAGCTTGTGCAGCTTCACGATATGAGATTTGAGGAAGAGATATCGTTAGTGAGGCCAAGGAATCGTCCAACACAGGCATATAAAGGGCTACTGCGCTTTTTCTTCATATAGGAAAGGACCAAAAGTGGTCTATACGTGGCTCATTAGACTACCAGATCAACGTAACCCAACTTATCGGGACAGAAATCCAGGTAGCTGTGAAATTTTCATGCAAAAGTGACTTTGCCATGAGAAGAGTCTTAACACTATGAAGCTAACCAGTAATATTAGACCCAACAGAAGTAATTTTATTAATACTAAAACTTTATTCACTTGTGTCATTATCCTTCAATTGGAATGGTAAAAATACGGCGTCCCATTCATCACGTTGCAAAGCTTTTAAATACCGGCGCCGCTGCTCGAGCACCTTGTCCAACAATTCCGGTTCATGCTTCTGCGCCACCTCCAGAGCCCGATGCCAATTATGCATGCGTAAGCAGAGTGCAACAGCTGCAGAGAATTTCTTGTTGTGCAATAAAATAGTCTCCGCTTCGATCAGACKTCCGAGCATTAGCGAGTTCTCCGCCATTTGTTCCGGACTGGCAGACGGCAACTCCTAAAAAGTAGTGTTCATGATTTTGTGCAGCAAAAATCATTATCATTTAATCTGTACCTTTATGTATTGCAGATAGCTGACTTTGTCGATCTGTAGTGCGGCCGAATATGCCTCCTCGCTGATCTGTAGTTGATTCTTGCGCGTTGCGATGGCCGCCAGTGTCGCCCAGAGGCTACCATTCTGTACCAGACGACAAATCTTTAATGCCTGTTGCCACTGTCCCTCCATCAGAGTGCGATGCAAAATTTCACAATAAATATTCACATTAATAGGCAGCAATGCGCCGGCGCAGCGGAATGTTACGATGGCGTCCTCGAAGGACTCCAATGTTATGTTTTTGCCAAATTCACTAAAATTGAAAATATTACGTGCCTTCTACCGCCCAATAACTAATCGCACTCACGTGGCGTCTATGGTGATCGTTGTTAACGCGATCAACGTCGGATCGGCGGCGCCCTCGCCAGGACAATACCAAATGCTGTAGCAGGTATCGTGTACGCCTACCAAAATATTCGACTCGCTACCCCACATAACGGTCGTCACTTGTGTGCCGATTTTGTAAATTTCGCCGCTGTTATTTATGCGTCCGTTTATGCCGCGTTCGGTGTTGCCATTCACGCCTGCTACAGCGCTTAAACCATTTCCGCCGCCTACGCCACCGCTACCAGCTCCGGCACTGCTATTCAAATTACGTGTCTCTGTGATGTACAATTCTCGATTATTATCGATAAGCACGACATACTGGTCATCGAGTGTGCCGGCGTGACATGCGGAGATCTCGGAAATTTGAGTTTTAGCGCGTATCGAATGTGGTTCATATTGCCGTGAAGCGCCCGGCACAAGATCGAATATGTGAATTACTTCATAGGAATACGGGAGATTTATATCAAGAAGATTTGCTAAATATATTTCTAATACTCACCGGTGTTATCGGAGTTGTCTCGTATAGCTAAAACATCCAAACCGAGAGATATGGCGCGCCATGTAAGTAGTGGTACTTGTGCCTGTAAACCGGGGTAGCGTGGATTCAAGTGCAGTCGTCCCGTGTAAGTATACACCCAAATCGATGTGGCGTCCAAGACCATGAAGAATCTAAAACCATAGAAGGTCTGATAATAATAATCGAGTTCGTGATATGCCAAAGTAGTTAAATAAACAAAAAAATAAAAAATAAAAAATTGAAGGTTCAGAGTACCAAAACACAACATTATTCTACAAATGTATTAGGAAGTAGCAAGCGTACTCACTTCTTGCCGACTTCAATCACACGTACGTCTGTTCTTCCATCAATTATTATCGGCGTATTAATATATTTCTCATTATAAATATGCAACTGATTAGATGTGGCTACAATCAAGTGTCCATAACCCAATCCAAAATTAATGACTCGTTCGGGAAAGTCTAAAACATCGGTGCTACTATTCGTGATATCCTGTAGCACGATGGTTTTGCGACCCGTGGTTGTCGCTTTCAGATTGCGTGAGATCAATTGGCGTTCCACGATATAACCAACCACGAGATTGCCCGTCGAAGTGCCACAAGCTACTTGTGTGCCATCCGATGACCAAGCCAACGCGTAGAACGAACCGACAGCGGGCTCGCTGAAGCGACTGCTGCTGTAAGACCACTGATGAGTAGAAAAGATAGAGAAGAAGTCAAATCAAATGAAAATATGTGAAAATCCTTATAAATATTTAGACTTAGGGGAACAGAGTGGACTCATTAACAGACGGTCAGATTGTGAAGCAGAATGTATTGAGCTACCACTCCAAAACAGTCGAATCGTCGATCGAATGGTACTACTTACCCCAGCGCTGGAGCACAGTTTCAGCATGTTAAAGGTTCCCACTAGAAGTACATCCTTTTCAGAATTGAAGCAAACTGAAGTAATAGCATATTCCTCCGTGGAGCTGGTGAACAAATTAGCGCCTTGTGCATCCCAAATCTTGAAGCGAAAGTCTTCGCCACCTGAAGCGATTATATTCGAATGCGTGGACCAGCTTAGGGATAAAACGAGGCCATCATGAGCACGCCACTGTAAACATTGTATTATGAGTACTTCTACACATATTTATAACAAGATTTTGCTATATTCTTAACTAGCCACACCTACCCTTGTTAACTTGCTATTCGCTGCCAGCGGTTTGATAGACATATAGCAGCCCTGACTGAAAACGATCGAAGTAGAATTGGGCGCCCAACGTGCACAGCTAATAGCTTCATCGCTCTGTATTACAGTGGAGCGCAGCATGCCGGAGCGCGACCATATCTTGATAACGCCATCCTCGCCGGCTACATATTTGTATTAAGAAGGAAAAATCGTTACAATATGTTGAGAGACTCAAATGAAAAAGCGTACCTGTGAGTAACCCTGCGCCGTCCGGACTCCAACGTCCAGTGCTTATCGCTGCGCTGTGTGCTGAAATATTCCGCTCGACACGCGCGCTTTTGTTCAGTATGATGAAGCGTCCGTCATTGCTGCAGATGAGTAGCGTATCGCTGCCTTTGCCACCACCGCTGCTGCGTCCACCTAGGAGCAGCCAATGCAAATCAGTGGGTATGAAGTCATCCGGCAGTTTGGCCACCTCCACTGAATCGCGCGTGACGGCGCTCCATTTGTAGATCTGGTGATCATCACTGTTTCAGAACAAGAATACAAGTAGAAGAAAAATTATTCTTGTGAGTACCACAACAGTTGGTTTTCAATTACTATCAGATCAACGCTATTTATTTAGGAAATGTTTTATATTCAATTACAACCAATTAATAGCAACATCAAACCGCTCCTACCTTACAAAGTATATTTCTTCATTGCTGCTCCAGTCCACACTGCTCAACGGTATTATATTCGCCTTTTCAGTAATTTCCTTCTCTTTGTGGGCACTCGTGTTTCTTTGCGTTGCCGAATTCCGCAATCGAAAATCCACATTATTATTGACCGAAGTTCGCTTGCAAATTTCAGTTTTTAAGCGCATCTTTGAAAATGTATTGTGAACTTCATAAAAACTTTTCACACACTAATTTTTTTCAAGCAGTTAATTTGTTTGGTCAGTGACGTTACCATAGTGACTCTCTTACAATTTTAAGGGAAGCAACCGTTGTTAGTTAGTGCGAGTACCTGCCACCTGTTGCCCCATTCAACGGTAAATATTGTGCAGCCATTTGTCAATATATGTGTATATGTTTATGGTAAATATTTGTAAATTATTAACTTATTAAGTCTGGTAACCTATTTTGCTGTAGGTGAAGAGGACTATTTTCATGATTTCTTTGGAGGGTGGTTTTTTGTAAACGAATTATCTGGAATATTCAGAGTTTTTTTACTTATATATTGAAAATATAAAAAAAAAACAAAAATTATTTGAAAAAATTTAATAAGTACTTGATTACTATTATTATTGTCACTCGAAGTTGGAACCTCAAAAGAATGCAGGTGGGTGGCCCGGGTGATTTTCGCTCTTGCAATCAAATATTCTTGATTATTCTTAATCTATGTATAGCCATGTCATTCTGGTCCGAACTACCCAAGTTAAATTTCAAGGGTAAATAACAATATGACGGACTTTGATAAAAAAGAAATAAAAAGTTAGGGGCGATATACCGACGAGAAGTATATTAGTGTGTAGAACAGCCTGTTAAAATTTGAAAGCAATCGGTTCAGTAGAAAAAAAGTTGGAACCCGGGCCGGCCAGAAAACAATGTTTTGAGAAAAATGCGTTTAAAGTTCGGCCGATCTTAAAAGTTGGACTCCGAGGCGCTCTAAGAAACTCGTTATAACTCCCGAAATATTTCGAATTTCTGTCTGAAATTATCACAGTATATACTCAAGACATTGTACTTTCAAATTAAGCAAAAAAAATTCGATTTTTTGAACCCAAGTTTCTTAAGGAGGTGATGACCATTATAATAAAACCATATAGAGTTTAAATTATATTAAAGCTGTTCGGTCAGAGATCAATTTACAGGGAATTCATTGAACTTCAGCTCTATTATTGGAAAATAAAATGCATATGTACGTCATGGAGAGGACTAACTGAGACCAAGAAAATATTTTAGTTAGCATAAAAATTGTTTAGCAAAGCTTCGTAAAAATCGGGTGTAAAATTCAATGCGCGTTGCATTGAGCCCTTCAGTAGAAATGCTGTCTCTCAAGAGCTACTAAATTAATTTCACCTACAGGTAAATTTGGTGTTAAAACGTATTTTGATATATTTTTGTTGAACCACAGCCATGCCTGCTTCCCTTGTGTTGACTCTTTTTCATCATTTCATCATGGATAGACTTAGTTATCCCAAACCATTTTCGTTTTACTGAAAAAAAAATATATATATAAAGTTGAGGCCACTGACTCCGAATTTCGCTAGGAAATTTTAATAACTTCGACTTCTTTTGGATCGTATAACTTTCCATGATGAAATGGGAAACCTTACTGAAGATAAATGTCGAAAGAGCGAGAAAAATATCGGTAAACTTTTATAGGATTTATTTCGAAAACCCCGTTAGCACATATCCAAAAATGGTCGAAATCTGATTTTTATTGTTCAAAACTCAAGATACCAAATATGTGCATAAACGAATATTGCTGATTTGGTAGATAGTATATCAATCAAATTTAGGAACATATTTCCGCGATAATAATTGTTTGGTATAGATAACTGTAAAATTGCGTCAACAGAATTATACCTAATATCCGATAGACTTTATACGATATGCGTTTAGAGACTATTATATGAGATATCGTAAACAAAATCAGAGAACGTCTTTCTTGCAACAGTATGTCGCGATTAGGAAAATGTTTAAAATGGTTTTGATTTTGAAACTCTGTCTATATATGAGGTATCTTAAAGAAAAGTAAGCTTTTTATTGGCTTGGTATAGGTAAACATAGCGTATTGGATATACAATGTCAAATTGCGCGAGATCGGTCTAAGAAAAAAAAAAAAAAAGTTCGTTGCTCCGGCAGACTATATATTGGACATGATATTATGAGTCAATGTGCGAGTTGTTTTAGTAAACTTACTGCTCCTACTAAACTAGCTGCCCCTTTAAATCGTTTCAACACTTTCGTTCAGTTACTTTTTGGGAGTGCATTTGACAAAAAACTATAAATACCAGTGACATTAGTGAAGGCTTTGTTTACAATTACTATGAAATAAAGACAGTTTGTTTCGTTCATGACTTCGCATGTCGTAATCTTGCCTCTTTCGTTTCTAGTTGTCATAAAATATACAAAGTATAAAAGAAAAACAATTAAACTAAACTAACTACTAAAAAGGCTATGACTGGGCAATGATAAAAGTAATTGTTTCAATAACCATAACCATACTAACCATACAAAGGAATAAATTGTCCACTTGTCAATTGGAATACCGGCATAATTGATGAGATAATGAGTATATGAGTATTTTCCTGCAAGTAAGACCGTGTACAAATATCCATGCTATAAGAAGTAAGTGAAAGTGCCAACGTGTCAAGTCCTTTGGAGGTTTTATCTCAAGATAGGCAATGTCCCATTCTGATTAGTGTTATTTAATCAATTTGGAAAATAGGTCAACGTTTTCAGTAAGAAGTACTAATTATATAAACCATAAATACTGCGATTTCAGTACTTATTTATATAAGGAGCCTTTTTTAGAAGTATGGATCTCAAGAAGAAAAAAGAATACAAAAAAAACTTACATTTTAATGCTATTGCCAAGAATTTGAATTTATTATAAATGATCACCGAGGCTGGTTCGAACAAATTTCAGCCTCGCGGCCGAATTTACGACCATATTTTGCATCAATAGCCGCTGTATGTCAACAAAAATGCGCCGAATATCCTCTTCTAAAGCGTCAATGGTCTCAGGCTTATCTGTAATTTCAAAGACTTCACATAATCGCGCATAAAATAGTCAAGCATGTTAATTCACGAATGATTTCTAAAAAAGCAGCTCGGCAGAAATTGCTTGGGGAGGGGTTCATTATGCTGGGAGCATTTTTTAACTGGGTTTAGCGGTCCTCACTGTGCGAATATTCGATGGGAGCCATTAAAAAAACATCCGATGGGAGATTCAATCTTTTACAGTTTTTTTGATAGTGAGTTTTTAGCAGAACTTCTTGTCTAGCTTAAGCTCTAGACTAGTTACTCTGTCCACAGTCTGGAGATAAGTTCCTGCTATCGATAGGGGAGGTGCCTTAAAAATATTATATTTCTTAAGGAGCTAAACCAGTTCAGTCTTACTAGATTTAGTGGCAAGACCATTATCAGCCGCCCAGTTGGCTACGATGTTAAGGGGTCCTTGACTTAACTCATACATGGTATCTATTTCCGTCAATCATAAAGGCTACGTTATTTTCATAGGCAATCATCTGGAAGGCAGTTTCTTCAAGGCTTACTAGTACTAGTACATCATTGATAACCTGTGCCAGAAAACAAGATAAGTGCCATTGTAGGAGACTACATAACAGGCAACATTATTCAAAAGATATTATTAATAATGGCCACTTGACAATTCTTGGCCGGTTAAAAACCCGAATCAAGGGAAAGATGTAGGATTGGAGGTAAGGTTAGTAAGGACCAAAAAGTATGGTTCTAAGTGTCTTTGTCTTAAAATAGGTATGTCTACCCAAGAGCATAAGAAGCATAACACCATCTACAGGAGATTGAACACTCGACTGTATGTCATATTTTTGAGTCCTATGTATAATGATTGGAAAATAAGTAAGAACATTAACAAGCCATAATTTATTTGTTCTCAATTGGAAAATTATATTAAGTTACTGACTAAGTAGTTTTTGTTGATCTATTAGTTAGAAGCGAAAACTTAAGTACGTGCTGTTATGTATGGAAGTTCGCTTATAATGGGCGTTGTCTTCGAACAGTGTGCCCAAGCATATGTGTCTCCTAAAACATACGAAATTGCTGTGATATTCCTAGAGCTGTATATATGTACATATGTATAGGTAGACATACATACATGCATGTAAGTATTTGCATAGTATATACTTGTGTGCTTTGAATATTTCAGGTGCATTAGAATAATGGTTACGGAAATGACTACACAAGTCTGGACAGACATGCTTTCGCTTCCTAATATGCTTTCCATGTATGACCTAAAATCCATTAAAATCCTGCTTTTCCTTTTCTCGTGCGAGTGGTAATATTGAGGGTTGGGGTGGTCATTAAATACATGGCTAATTTGATTTGTTCTATTGCAAACGATTTAGTTGAGCCTTACCAAGCCTATAATACTTCCAAGTAGAGTTTTCTTTCTTGTTTATCGTTTGTGCAATCAATGAACTTTAAACGCTGCTGCTAGTTTGCTTGATTATTGACAAAATTAATAGTATGTAGGCAAACATTTATATTTACAGGGTGTTTCAAGGGCAGTAATGCATGCTGTTACGATTTCCCAATTACCTTTAATGCATACATATAAGACTTGTCCTTTATCGACCAGTATGTATAACAGCTGCGCATAGTGGTCCGCTATAGAGGATTCCGACAAATGAACATCTTCTAAAAGAGAAAAGGTCATGCGCACAATTTCAGATCGATATCTCAAAAACTTAGGGACTAGTACAGAAAGACATACGGATATGGCTAACTTATCTGATTGAGCTCGTTATGCTGATCTCTTATATAGCCTCTGACCTTTCATATGGGGTGTTTGACATTATGACGACCTTATCCCTGTTCATGATATAAAAAGTTGGCTTGAAAATATTCTCAATATACGTACATACATATATATTTCCTTCATTATAATAAATATATAGGTAAATATTTTACACAATTTTGTAAACTAGTGTTCCCGCAAATATTCCAAGTGTAGCCAGATCCTTTCCCACCTGGTCTTTTCAACGGAGCGGAAGTCTTCCTCTTCCCTCGCTTCTCCCGGCGAGTACTGCTTCGAATACTCTCAGAGCTGGAGTATTTTCAACCATTCGGTTCGGGCGACATGATCTAGCCATCGTCTCTGTCTCTTAGTTCGCTGAACTTTGTCAATATCGTCGTATATCTTG